TGGTCTTAGCCTGCCTAAAAAGACATTACATGGCCCTTGCTGGATCCCCTTCGGTTTACTTACTGCGCGCACAGGTCCATGGATGAAGCTATAAACATGGGACTGCATTACATCCTGCAACATCTGGACAAACCAAGGACTTATGCAAGGATCCTGTCTGTGGACTTCTGTTTGGCTTAATACCATCATGCCTTTTCTTCACTCAGCCAAACTGACCCATCTCTCCGTGCTCACCCCAATCTGTGGATCACCAGCTTCCTTATAGACAGGCAGCAGCTAGTGAGACTGCCCTCACCATCAGCACTGGTGCTCCTCGAGGTTGCTTTCTCTCCCCACTGCTCTTCTCCCTGTACATGAATGATTGCACCTCTAAAGACCCCTCTGTCAAGCTCCTGAAGTTTGCAGATGACACCAGTCATCGGCCTCACCCAGGATGGTGATGAGTCTTCATACAGACATGAGGTTGAGTAGCTAGCTGTCTGGTGCAGTCATAACAACCTGGAGCTTAACATGCTCAAAACAGTGGAGATGATTGTGGACTGCAGGAGAATTATGTGTGTGCACTGGAAGCTTCATTACAAAAAAAAAAAAACCTTCCTGATTCTGATAGCATGCAGATGTGGGCCACTTAAAGGGGTGGTTGACTGTTTTTTTTTCTAGGCTTGATTGTGTTTATTGGGTGCAGTCTAACGTGTGTTAATGCTTCATTTAAAAAAAAAAAAACGCATTCTTTTTTTCACATAATTTGCCTTTATTCTACACTGCTCTGTCCCTTCTATAAACACGCTGATGATTTCTTGTTTTTATGAAGCCCCTCCCTCAGAAATACGCAATGGGCTCAGATTGGTTAGCTGGCCCAGTGTGTTGTGATTCGCTAAACCGCCTAGTGTGCGTTTAAACGTCACGCCCCTCAGCTCAGTGGCATGTGCTCCGGTTGTATTGTAAACAATGGCGTCGCTGCATCGTCAATATTGATTATCAATTTGAGACCGAATGAGACGGAGAGGATATTAGTGAAGAGGATTGCACAGAACCTGTGCAAGCACACGGCTCTTAATGGTATGTTTTTTGTTTGTTGTTGTTTCATACTTTTAGATACGCTGTTATTTGTAAATGCTACTGCTTATGTTAGCTTTTAATATACGGTTTTATCCTGATTAACGCTTTAATACAGCACGGCAACCGCACACTCGTCCATGTTTAACACTTCTCATAGCTATGTGAAAAATGTCTGTCTATAACACATACAAGTGTATAATTCGAACAGTTCATTGTTGGAGCTGAGCTGTCGAGCTGAATGAGAGAGAGAGAGATGCAGAGCAGAGCGTGTGCAGAGCAGGGGGACGCAAGGAACAGGATTAAGAACCGCTGCTTTAGAACATTGATTTTGAAACTTGTGAATCCATTAGAATCGTTAGAAGACAGAACTGTGATGCATAAATGAATAGATTTTTTCATGCACCCCTAGTTTTGAGCATGGCTACATCTCTTCTTCTTCTCTAAAGCATTGCACCATAGCCTCGCCCCCTTTGTTGCATGTTCCCAGGGGCAGGGTTTATGTAAATGTCTGGGTTTGTGATGTCACAAACCCGGGAAGTAACTTGTTGTAGTCCCTACCAGCTGTTTTTGTAGGCATTAAACTGCCAGAATTTTAAAA